GCCACCCCCGAGCTTTTCCCCCTCGGTGACGGGGGTTTAAGCACTGGCAAAGCCGTTGCTGCCGGCGCATTCCCGGCACCCTGACCGCATTCCCGGCGTTTTACCTTCCGGCTGGTAACGAGGCATCGGCGTTCCCAGGCAGAGCAAAACGCGGGACGAGGCATCCTCCCGGCCGATCCTGAGCTCCTCCGGGTACGCGGGGCGCAGCGGTAGCTCCATCACACGCTGCCTTGTTGGGGGGGGGGGGGGGGGGGAGAGTTGGTGCCGGCTGAGCCACCGGATGACGCCGCGTCTGCCACCACTCCGAGCCGGGATGCGCACACCCGCGTTCGGTTAGGACAAAGTCACGCCCAAAATGTTTCCCTCCTCCGACCCTGACGGGGATTTAGCGGTCGGATTGGAGGTTTGGCGCAAGCAAGGGAGCCCTGTCCCGCCCAGTGTTGCCGAAATCCTCTGAAATTTGGCTTGAAGGGCAAATCTGTGAGGGGGAGGAAGGCGCGGCGGAGCTTGGCGTGAGGTGGGAATTGGTGCTGTGGCGTTAAGCAAAGCCTGAACTAACAGGCAAAGCTTGGCTTAACAGCGGTCGTGAACCGCGGTGCTTCCTTCTCCGCCCGGCCGCTGGTTCCGGCTGGCACTGACCTGCTCCCCGCCGGCACGCTCGGCTCCTCCAGGCTGCTCCCGCTTGTATCCGCCGATTCCAGTCCCCCATTGGTTTCCTTCTCCGGGAAGAGCTCGCAGAGCTGGAAGTCTTCGGTGGGATCGCCGGGAGAGCTCTCCGCCTGCCGGAGACGGGGAGCTGATGTCCATAGCTGGATTTTTCCCCGAAAGATGGGATCTGGTGGACAGGGCGGGGTCTCCAGGGATGGTTAAAACCGGAGCGGGAGCAAACCGACCTCTGAAAGCAGGCGCTCCAGGCTGCCGGGTTCAAGTTTGGCGTCGCCTTTGAAAGGGGTGAAGTAGGGGGGCTCAACCTCCGGCAAAATCTTGATGGGGCCCCTCTCGGCGCGCTCTGCCCATCGCCCCCGCGGCCGGTAGCTCCCCGGAGGGCTGGCGGTCACTCCGTCCCCTTCCTCCACCTCTCCCAGCTGGAAAAGGCAGGGGGGAAGAGAGAGGAGATGGGGTGGAGATGGAGCAAAGGCTGCGTTTAAATTAATTTCATTTAAATTAAATTAAATGATGTTTCTTGGTGCGGCGGCGCGACTTACCAGCCTCTTGGCCCACATGGGCAGCCTGCCGTTGGTTAGGATGCACGCCGGAGCTGGAAGGGGAGAGCAGGATTAGGAGGCAAACGGGACAGAAACTGGGGTGCGGCCGCAAAAGGGGGGACCCCACAACGCACGCGGCTCTGAGTCTTCCTTGGAGGGGGTCTGCAGGGGCAAGGCCTCATCTTGCTCCTCCTCCTCCTCCTCCTCGGAAACACCACCGGGAGCTGCCGTCCCGCTGGGGATGGTGACGTAGGTCTCCCGCCTGGAGGGAGAGGAGAATGGTTGGGCCGTCCCTTCCCACCCCCAAAAACCCCAAAATTTTGGGGTGCCGTGCGGGGTGGGAGGGGTTACCTGAGCTGCACCGGGGCACCGGGCTCCTTCACCCGTTTTGGCTGCAGCGAGTCGAGCTCCAGCAAGTGCTGCTTCATGCTGCTGGTGATTTCAAGGCCCAGGTGCCAAATAAAGATGCAGCTGAGGGTAGAAAAGCGGGTAAAGGGAGGTCAGGTCACCCCAAATTTTGGATATGGGGACGGGGGGAAGTCATAGAATCACAGAATCATAGAATGGTTTGGGTTGGAAGGGACCCCTAGAGGTTATCTAGTCCAACCCCGCTCCCTTACCTGTCCCCTGAGACGGTGATGAGGTGCTTGCAGTCATATTCAAGGACCACTTGGGGTCTTTGCCATGGGCGGGGTCATCTCCCCTAGACCAGGTTGCTCCGAGCCCTGTCCAACCTCATCGCGAACATTTCCCATGATGGGGCATCCGCAACCGCTCTGGGCGACCCAACCCAGCATCTCAGCACCCATACAGCAACAGATTTCTTCCTCCTGTCCAACCCAACCCTCCCCCTGGGCCAGTTTAAAGCCGTTGCCCCTCGGCCTCCCCCTACGGACGCTAGTAAAAGTCTCTCTCCGTCTTTCGAACGGCCACAGTAGGGTCTCCTTCTCCTGCTTGAACAACCCTGACTCCCTCAGCCTCCCCAGGGCCTCCTCTGGACCCGCTCCAGCAGCTCCGTGTCCATCTTGTGCTGGGACCCCAGAGCCAGACGCCAGGCACGGGGGCGGATCTCAGCAGAGCAGAGCAGAATGGGAAGAATCCCCCTCCCTCGACCTGCAGCCCAGGAGATGCTTGGCTTTCGGGGCTGCGAGCACCCATTGCCAGCTCACAGCCCGGTTGTCATCCACCAGCGTCCCCAAATCCTCCATCCGTCCCCCAGCCTGTGCCGGGACAAGGGGATTGCCCCATCCCCCCCCAGCTCCTTGAGCTTGGCCTTGGCCAGAACCTCACGAGGTTCACGTTGGCCAACGTCTCCAGGTCCCTCGTCCCTCGAGGGTACCAACGGCACCGCTCAGCTTGGTGTCATCTCCAATCCCGCTGCCTAGGTCATTGATCAAGGTACTGGTACTGGTCCCAGTACGGAGCCCTGAGGGACACTGCTCGTTGCCGATCTCCATTTGAACATGGAGCCCTTGACTGTGGTCAACGTATACGCACATATATTTCTCTATCTCTACATATATGGACCAATGGGAGCCCTTCCTGCTGCGTTGCCACCAACAGCCCCAGTGGTGTTCAACCCAACCCCAGCAAAACCCAACCAGCAATGGCTCCGCAGCAGGGACGGAGCCATCCCCCCCAACCCGGGCGCTCAACCGT